AAGCGTAACTCAGCCAAATCAAATCGGGGCCATGTTGCATGGCATGTGCTGTTTGTTTCTGTGTGCATGCAATGTATATTCAGGCAAAAATGATGAGCGCGAAAATATGATAAACTCATCGGCTGATGTGGGCGAGTTTCGTGCTGCTGGGGAGGCTAGACTTCCTTTAGATTCAATATAGACATCGTTGCATTCGCTCAGCTCGGCTTTTTTGCTGCAGCTTTGCTCTCACTCGATTCTCAGGAGGACAAGACTGCAGATGTGAAGCCGGTCAAAGCAGCAACTTGATCTCATAATACCCCGGTGTACTGAGTTTTATTGTTCATTCTCATAATACCCCGGTGTACTGAGTTTTATTGTTCATTCTTATGACCGCGAACCACATCTCTGCCCAGGACCCCGAAGCTTCGTTGAGCTCTCTCATGAAGGCTCGGCTCCAGTCGTCTGCCTGCCGAATGTATAGGGGGCCTTATTGGAATAGTAAGGGCTAATTCTGGAGGGAGGATAATGTAGCTATGTTTGTTCATGCATGGAACCTACAGTGTGTATGTATATATGCACACAGACTGTATATGTGTACACATGTGCTGCTGCAGGAGGAGAAGCCTTACAAGTACCCGATGAAAGAGATGAGCCAAGGCATGTTAGATGAAGCTGACTTACTGAATACAGAATTGGAGCCCCCCCGCTATGCCGAACAGCAATGTCTCCGCAGAGGCCGAAAGAAGAAAGTTGATGATGAAGATGATGAACCCCTGAGCAACATGGTAACTGCAGATGAGATGATGTTGGAGATGGAGGACCACTGCAGGCGAGAGAGTGTTGAGAAGCCCAGGAAGGAAAAAGGAGGCAAGAAAACAAGGAAGGAGCTGGAAAAGGAGCTCGCTGAGGAGCTGGGCATGGACCATGAAGAAGGAACCCAGGATGAAGAGGAGGATGAGGAGGAGGAGGAGAAGTCTTTCGAATACACTGTGCAGGTCCGGAAGAAGACGGTGATAGTGAAGAAGAACGAGGACCATGATGCAGGTCGGCCAAAGAGAAGCAAAGGCAAAGGCATGAAAGCAGAGGAGGAGGAGCAGGAAGATGAAGAGGAGGTGCCAAAGAGGGGCAAAGGCAAAGCCAAGAAAAGCGCAGAGGAGGAGGAGCAGGATGATGAAGAGGATGTGCCAAAGAGGGGCAGAGGCAAAGCAAAGAAAGTGGAGGAGAAGCAGGATGATGAAGACGAGAGGCCAAAGAGGGCCAAAGGCAAAGCCAAGAAAGTGGAGGAGGAGCCGGATGATGAAGAGGATGAGCCAAAGAGGGCCAAAGGCAAAGCCAAGAAAGTGGAGGAGGAGGAGCCGGATGATGAAGAGGATGAGCCAAAGCGGGCCAGAGGCAAAGCCAAGAAAAGCGAGGAGGAGCAGGATGATGAAGAGGATGAGCCAAAGAGGGGCAAAGGAAAGAGGGCCACAGGCAAAGCCAAGAAAGTGGAGGAGAAGCAGGATGATGAAGAGGATGAGCCAAAGAGGGCCAGAGGCAAATCCAAGAAAGCGGAGGAGGCAGAAGCAGTGGAGCTTTCAAGTGGATCGGAGAAGGAAGAGGATGAAGAGGCCTTCCCGAAGCGGGGCAAAGGCCAAAACAAAAAAGGCACAGGGAAGGGCAACGACAAGAGGATGTTGCATGATGAGGAGGATGCGCCAGGGACCATGAAAAAGATGAGCAAAGGCAAGAAAGCGCAGGAAGAGGAGGAGGATGGTGAAGACATGTCAAGGAAATGCAAAGGAAAGGGACAAGCCAAGAAGAAGGAGCAGCATGATGATGAAGAGGAGGTGCCAAAGAGGGGCAAAGGCAAAGCCAAGAAAAGCGAGGAGGAGCAGGATGATGAAGAGAATGAGCCAAAGAGGGGCAGAGGCAAAGCCAAGAAAGCGGAGGAGGAACAGGATGATGAAGAGGAGAGGCCAACGACGGGCAAAGGAAAGAGAGGCAAAGGCAAAGCCAAGAAAGTGGAGGAGGAGGAGGAGCAGGATGATGCAGAGGAGGTGCCAAAGAGGGCCAGAGGCAAAGCCAAGAAAAGCGAGGAGGAGCAGGATGATGAAGAGGATGAGCCAAAGAGGGGCAAAGGAAAGAGAGGCAAAGGCAAAGCCAAGAAAGTGGAGGAGAAGCAGGATGATGAAGAGAATGAGCCAAAGAGGGGCAGAGGCAAAGCCAAGAAAGTGGAGGAGGAGCAGGATGATGAAAAGGAGGTGGCACACAAGGGCAAGCGCAAAGCCAAGAAAGTGGATGCTGAAGAGGATGCCGCAAAGAGGGCCAAAAAGTCACCCGGTGAAGCTGGTGTGCCCCAGGCCGACGTATGTGTGTGTCTACAATATACATGTATATATATATATATGTAATATATGCATACATGCATATATATATATATATAAATATACATACATACCTACACACATACCTACTTACATACATACACACACATATGCATACATATATATATATATAACATACATATATGTATGTATATACATGCATATATTCATATATATATATATATATATACATGCATCGAAACTATTCCCCAGAACTATGTTGCAAATCCTGTGTCCCCATGAAACCTTACTTTGATCTACCCTACAGGACCTGGGCAAGATGATGCCACCGGCGCATATAAGGTCCAACCACATCTACAGCAATGCCTATCGCTTCAGCCTGGCTTTAGGGCACGACCTGGAGGCTGCTAGGACACGGGCCAGGGATGCAGCGGAGGAGTTCCGCAAAACTGGCATGGTTCCAGTGGACTATGTGAATGGGTTCAGGGGCCCCAATTCAAAGAAGCCGTCGAAGGATATCAAGGATCCCAAACCAAAGGCCAAGTCGAAGTCTGGCAAAGCCAACGCAGGATCGAAGGCAAAGGCCAAGAAGTAATATTTCTCCGTTTTGCTGAATGGCACAAGCCGTTTAGGGAGGCCCACCAACAGAGTGGGCCATAGATGAGGCCTGTAGGAGGTCGGTCTGCTTGCAATGAGTTAACTCTTTATATTGCACTACAACACTGTATGTAATCAACACATTGCGTGAGTGGACCTGCCATAGTCCCCACAAAGCCTGTTTTCACGTGGGCCCAGCAAGGGGAAGCATGCCATGCACATGTTTCTGTTATCTTCTACTTCTTCCAAACGACCAGTTGTGCCAGACATAGAATGACTCTAGGTGTATGGCATGTGGGGCTGCTGGCTGCTTTCACAAGTACACAGTCAGCTGTGTGCCGGTTCCGTGAGCATCTCTACCTGTGTGCAATCGCGACAAATAATAGTGGCATATGTTGTGCATTGCAATGCATGTGCAACATGAAACATGATCAGTGAAGGCTTCCTCAACATGTTCCCGGCCAGCAATAATCGAGCCTCCATTCGTAGGGGAAACGGACTTCGTGTGTGCCAGCAGCTACCGCTCGGTGACATGTTACGCAGGGCTAAGTGACTCGCTTGCACCCATGCAAGTCCTAGAAATAGAAACCCGAAATTCCCTAAAACCTCCATGCTGAGGGCCTTTGTCATCGAGAGCGACGATGAATCCGACCACATCGATGATGATGTGGAGATGCCACCTGAGACTACGCCGATGCCCCGCCCAGTACCATTTCCAGATGATCACATTCACCCGGGTTATTTGCCTCTCCGCTTACTTCTCATTATGCAGAGGCTGCAGATGGCTCTCCAACTGCACGCAAGACACTTCAATACTGTTCTGCATGTTCATCTTTGTGTGCACAACTAAGATTTGCGGATTTTCAAAGCCCTATGCAGTGGTGGATATGTTCTGTGGTGAAGCTGCAATCAGCAAAAGCTTTCGTCGAGCAGGGCTTCCTGCCTTGGCCCTCGATGTGGCCAGAGATGTGCGGGATGTGCCTTGGCTGCAACGAAACCATGACGAAAAACATCCCCTATTATAAACCCTTACCTATAAACCTTCCTAAAAACCCTACCCTTTATAAGCTAAAACTCTATACCTCTAAACCCTTACCTATAAACCTTCCTAAAAACCCCTACCCTTTATAAGCTAAAACTCTATACCTCTACATATAGATAAACCTTATCAAGAACCCTACAGCCCCTTAAGGTAGAACCCTTAACTATATAAACCCTTACTTAAAGACAAGCCTTTCTAACATCCCACAAACCCCTAAGCTAAAAACCCTTGAACCCCTATGTATCCGGCCCAGCAAGATTCTTTAAGGATATTTTATCACCTCTCGGCTTTTTACGCCACCTGTGGGCCATATTGCACCTACAGCGGGGTGGCCTTTGCTGCTTGGGGATTGTGTGCTCCAGCTGGAGCAAAATGGGCAGTATCTTATCTTGAATGGTCTGGAGCTAGTGCATGCATGAGGGGTTTTTTGGAGCCTCGGATCGAATGCTGTTTTCGTCTGCAGTTTCTACTTCCGGGCGATCGCGCGAGAACCCCCTTGGCAACCAGTGACTGGGAGAATATCGTGCTCGCCTGTATGAACAGATACACCTCGACAACCCTTAAGGAACTTCCTCAAAGTCCGCCTCGGCAACTTGATGGTTTCGCGAGATCCCTGGCTATGTTTATTTAGAACCCTATGCCTTGCAAACCTGCAATCTGCGATCTTGCAAAACTATTGAAACCGTACAAGTTTCGATTGGATGTATTGATGGACACCTTTGTCTCTCCCAACAAACCCAGAAGCTGTGAAATACAGGTGATAGGGCTTGTAAGGGTTCATAGGGGGATTGCACTCCCTATGTAGGTATATATATATATATATAGAAATATACATACATACAGCTATTTTACCTATATATACATTATATATATATATACCTACATAGGGAGTGCTGTGGGGATCCTCAAAACATCCTACAATGCCCATGTTGCAAACCCCCGATAGGACAAGTCCCATTCGTCCCAATCTCGAAGAGCTTTGTGGATCCCAGGTAGGCTTTGTCATCGTGTCCTTAGGTTTGTTGCTGTGTCGGCTGTAGAGGGCTGGTGTTTTATGGGTCGTGTTCGGGATATTGCAGGCATTCACATAGAGGGTTAATTTAATCTTAACACTTATAGCTCCTTTGCTGCTTCGTGGGCTTTAAGACTTATGGGTTCGGGGTCTATGAATTTGTATTATAATCCTATATAACTCTCGTAGACCTATACCCCGACAGTATGTATACCCTTTAGACCCTTATGTCAGTCCTATATAAACCCTAAAGGCCCTAACCTTATGCTCTGAAATCCCATATGCCCTGTAGAAGTTCCTCTGTCTGTTTCGAAGGCATTGCATATATCTGTGGATGCATACAGTTCTGCACCTTTCAACTAAGTGTGTCCTCCTCTGCATCGCCGTGATGCACCAGAATGCTCATTACATGATCGAGAACCCTTTACAGAGCCTCGCAAGGCCCTCGGTCATCACACACATGTGTTGCTTGTGGTGCTGATTAACTTATATGCTGTGTTGACATCCTAGATCGACCTGCACCCACGAATGGAGCGGTTCTTGCATCATCGTGTACACTACCGGAGTATGACGTGGTTAGCTATGTATGGTGCGGAAACAGCTAAACCAGTGAAGCTGATCTCCAGCAGCCCTTTCGTGACCTGGCTGTACCGAAGACTCAACCGCAAGAAGATTGGTCTGAAGAAGTCCACCACGACCAAAAGATATACTGATGCGACTGGGAAGCACCGATTCACCGGAACCAAGACTCTGAAGTCCACATCGGTGTATCCACCTCGGTTTGGAGAGCAGGCTCACACTTTCAAGCTTGAGTGCCCCAGCTGTTGCTTATCTATATTCTGCATGGGCAGGTTCGAAAGAAGTTCATGCTGCATGGCCTCGTCTGCCCCAACCGACGTGGCTGGATTGATATCTCGGGCGATGATTGGGCCGATGCAAGGCAGCTTGGTTGATGACTTGAGGCTAGCATTTTGGGGGGTTGTGTGTTCCCGGGATACTTAGATATCTGAGGCTCGATGAAGTTGAGTCGCTGCTGGAGAGGATGATCCAGTCTGGTCAGCAAAAGCTGCTACAGCCTCCAAGTGTGTGATGATGTTTTCCCTTGTTTGCAAAAGCAGCAGCAGCAGCAGCATCCCAATGGCCAGGCTAAATCTATGCTATGTAGAATATTGCAGATGTAGGTGCATATAGTTTGTCGCTCTGGCTGTCTTGCAATGGAATGATAATCTGGCTGGTAGATCCACTATGCTGCTACCTGCAGGGAAATTCAAGGAGCTGTGATATGGTCATAGCTGCCCAGTGCGGGGGTGGATGCACTCGAGATCAAAGGCTGTCTGTCAGCTGACCGAAAAGTCGACCCGGAGCCATAGTGTGAGCCGAGCTGCTTGTCCACTGTCGAACATGTTGTATACCTGGGATCTACATGGTGGGGCTTTTTCACTAGGTGGCACAAGGGATGCTTGCTTTGGGTTCCTGGGATGAGGGTCTTGGGGGCAGGGGCTAGCGTCAGATAGGCGTCAGTTCTGCGTAAGATAGCCCGTAAGATAAGCGTAAGATCAGCGTAAGATCAGCGTAAGATCAGCGTAAGATCAGCGTAAGATCAGCGTAAGATCAGCGTAAGATCTATGTTGGGCCCTCATCAGGATGCAGGCTTCAGGGGCCACGTAAGATCAGCGTAAGATGAGCGTCAGATCAGCGTGAGATCAGCGTCAGATGCCCCCCAGGCCAGGCGTCAGATAAGCGTAAGATCTGCGTCAGCTCCAGGGCAGGGATCCTGGGTTGTGCTGTGGGTTTGGATGCTGGTCTCAGGGGGGCTTGTTGCTTTAGGGTCGGTGTTTCGGGAAGACACTTGTCTCGAGGGTGTGTTACACATGTGCACTCATATCTCTGTGTGTGTGTCCACACATATATAGGTAGGTAGGCAACTATACAGGTAGGTATCGGTAATATGTAAGTAGGTAGGAGGAAGGAAGGAAGGTGTGAAGGCAGGGCAATAGGTATCTGGGTAGGTAGGTATACGTAATATAGGCAGGTAGGTAGGTCTGGGCAGTCAAGTAGCTATCATGTATGCACCACATACATGCATGCATGTATAGTGTGCTCGGGAGATGATATGATGGATGAGTTACAGTGATGCTGGTGGTGATAGTGGTGCTGTGGTGTGTGTGTGTGTGTGTGTTGTGTTGACTATAGCCGTTGAAAACCACCCCGCTGCCACCAACCATGCACGGCCTAAAGCCCATAAATCACCACTGTCATAGCCACCACCAGCACCAATGCCACACCTCGTGTCACTAACACTGCCTCTATTCCTACTAGTTTTGCTAGCAATGTTCGATGTATATTATTGCTACCTTTACTGCTATTTCTATTACTACTACTACTACTACTGCTGCTGCTGCTGCTACTACTACTACTACTACTCCTGCTGCTGCTACTGCTACTCCTCTATCCCCCTACACCTGCTCCTAGCCCTACCCCTGCCCCTACTCCCTACCCCTACCCCTGAGCCCCACTACTACTACTTCTTCTACTACTACTGCTACTACTACTACTACTACTACTACTACTACTACTACTACTACTACTACTACTGCGACTACTACGGTTGATGATATAAATCCTGCACTACCCATAATAAGGAAATATATACCATAATTCCCATAGTTTAGGGTCCTTAAGGTCATGCAGGATTTATATCATCAACCGTACTACTACCACTACTACTACTACTACTACTACTACTACTACTACTACTACTACTACTACTACTACTACTACTACTACTACTACTAAAGCATCAACACGGTTTGAGACAAAATTGGAGCCCCTCTTTTTTCTATTTTACAAACATCAGAAAAAGAGGTGCTCCAATTTTGTCTCAAACCGTGTTTAGTAGTAGTAGTAGTAGTAGTAGTAGTAGTAGTAGTAGTAGTAGTAGTAG